GGGCATTTAACAACCTGATTGTAAGATGGAAAAGCATCAGCGATAAGAATGGAGACTATTTCATTTAATAAATGTTTTGTTTTGATATATAAGCAACATTAATTTCTTGACGACCTAATATTTGGGGAGAATTGTTAGCTCCATCTGCAGTCTAAACTCCACAGTTTCACTCACTCTCTTTACTGTTAAGTGTAATATCAAATATTGTGTTATTAAAATTAAAACATTTTAAATGTTACATAACTATATTAACCATGTAGTTAACTATATTATATAAACTATATAATATAACTATATTAATGTACAAGTAGAGTGACCAGTCTGATGGACTTGTTCAACACCAAGTATGACAGAGTTGTCAACAATAGTTTCACATAGCTCAAAAATGACAATAACAAGTAAATCCCAGGAAATATTTATTATGAATTGTACTGAACAACTTATAATTACAGGACAAGTGGAATCTAGGTAAAAAAGTTAATCAGGAAAAAGAAGACAAAGAAAATTACACAAACAGATAAAAAAAGTATTTTGGAAAACAGTATCTATAACAGCTAAGCCAAGCTTAGGCAAATTATTAAAATAATGTAAACCAACTTAGTTAATAATCAAGCTATTATTAATACAGTTTTCTAACAAAAAAGTAAAATGCTTATTTTGGAATTTGTCATTTTATACCATTCTTAAAATAGAAGACTTATTTTGTTTGTATTTTTTTATCTGTTTGTGTAATTTTCTTTGTCTTGCAGGGTTTAAGCATGTATGTGATGATAAAAATTAAAATGTTTATTTCTGAGTTTGTCATTTTTATACCATTCCTAAAATATAGGACCTTTTTTTAGCTTTTTTTTACCTGTTTGTATAATTTTCTTTGTCTTTTTTTACCTTTGCTTTTTTTTCCAATAGACTTTTTATCCATTGTCTTTTTTTTCTTTGTCTTTTTTAATCTTGTCCTTATTACTACCACTGAGACAAGTGACATCCACATGCTGAGCAGCAAATCTAGTCAAGCACTGGTAATTTAGTACCTACAGCTTGCAGAAGTGATAGTAACACGTACTACTACTAACCCGTTCTACTTTTCTTCTTAGCTTGGCAGTTAAATATCTATAGACTGCAGCTCAACATATGTTGATGTCATTTTTACAATTATGAACATAATAATATGCATAAGCCAATTACTAATAACTGTACTTCGGCATAAAGTAGGAGGAAATAAAAGATATTTTTAATAGGAATTATATGTAATGTACTATTTATATAATGATATGGCAATACATGTAATGATTAATGTGACTCCTTACATATTCCCCTCTTCCTCCAAAAAGAATTGTCCATTCTTGGATAAAAACTACAAATTCAGATGATCAGAATGGAAAGAACTTCTCTAGTGATAAAATAATCATTCATTTGTGATTTAAGAGTGTTTACAAGGACAAACAAGATGATTGAAGATGATCGTATGTTGGCACCGCATGAAGCAGAGATACTTCCTTATCCAAGTGAGAAAGAGATGGTAAATTAATAGATATGCTACGTGAAGATTTTGCATAGTCATCTTCATGTCCGTGTAGCAAAGTATGATAAAGAATATCTTGATCAAACAAATTCAGTAAATCGAAATCTGAGGCAAGACATGGATTAACAATATCCTCAATCTTTTTCAGTATCAGAGTACAAGATATTAGTAACATGGTTCGCTTTTACTGAAATACTATCTAGTACACACTTCCACATGTAAGCCACAAACAGAAGTTTTCTTTAACTCTAGGTGGACCAATATAAATAGGTTCCAACTTTTCAGAGAAATCAACATCTCCACAAGACTGAACCTGAGTATAAACTCTAACCAGATAAGAAACTTCAATAGTAATAGGATAATAACAATTCTTGCTAAACAAAGGAATAACAAACAGCCTTATAAAGTTTTGAGTAATGAAGTCTTATATAAGCAAATCATATGTGAAGTTTCAAAATGGTCCTCTACATCATCATGGCACCAAAAATCAAGAGGAAACTTGAAATCCCTCCCATAAATTGAAAATCTAAGGGATTCACCAGTACTCACATGAGGAGCACTTCTCAATTGAGGTAAATGCTCATCACATTTACTGTGTTTGGATTGAACAAAAAATGTTAGTATTATTTTCAAATTATGATTAACCCTTTTAGAGAGATTGGTAAGGTGCTTTTAAGCTTGTGTGTTAAACCCAATGTGAACAGATCACTTACAAACTACATTCCTATATCTGTTATTAAATTATATGTATACTGTGTTGAACAATTACTTCATAGACCAGTAATGGTGGAACAGTTTTAGTAGCTTCTCTGTCAGGGAACACATTTATCCATTTGGTGAAATAATCCACATATACACAGATGTATTGATATCATTCTGTAGTTTGTGGTAATGGATCAACAAAATCAAGGCTAAGAAATTGCAATAGATGTTTTTGAAAACAGACATCATAAAACCATCAGCAAGTAGTTGAGTTGGTTTAGCAGTCTGGCATACGGGACAATAGCCAAATTATTGTTTTGTATCTTGTTGGCTACCAGGCCAGAAAACTGTTGTATATGACAAATAGTTTTAGCTATTCATAGATGGCCAGCTAATGGATGATCAGTGGATGGATTCATTACTGTTGCTTGTAAAGAATCAGGAACATGTAATTTTAAATGCATTTGAGCATAGTAAGTTGTATTTGTTCCTAGACTGACATCATATAGAAGACCATCTTGTAGTTTTTACATTATGGAAGATACATTACCCTCCCTGTAGGGTTTATTTTCTATTTGTTTTAGGATTGGAC